GCAGCTAACAACTGTCCATAACTCCAGTTCTAGGGGATCCAATGCCCTCTTCTGTCCTCCATGGGCATTGCATGACACAGGTGCACTTCCATACATGCAGGCAATACATGTATACACACAAAATAAAAATAGTAAATAAAGTATTTTTTTAAAAAATTCTCACCAAACCCAAACAATCTCCCCAGTTTCTCTCTTTATTCATTCGCTCTATCCCAATAGTGAATTCCACACCTCCTTTGGGTAAAAGATGCTGTTTTCAGGGGGAAATCTTCAGTGCCAAACAGCAAAATTGAAATGAACAGAATGCCAAGCATGTTTCACCAACTGCAGTCAGGAGATTCCATTTACTGGTGAGTGTCTGAGTAGACCTACAGGGTTTTGCTGGATCCGCTGGTTGGTGAGGGGCCATCTCTAGAAGGATCTTCTGCTATTTTTATGGCTTCTTCCACGGCTGCGAGAAGGCCATTGCCCCCTTCCCCTCTCAAGGCTGGACCAAAGCACTCGGGCCTCCTGATGAGCAGCCTCACCACTACGTTGGCATTCTCTTCCACACTCTCCCCTATGGTCCAAAGGGCAATGTAAAGGGTCAGGACTTCCATGGATCACATGTCATAAACATTTAGCATTTAAAGGAATAGGCAAACCCCAGGAACATACCACAGTAGTAAATTCAATAGGTAAACTACACTTGCTTATTTATTTTGAGTGTATGTGCGTGTGCATGCACATGCCACAGTATTCAAATGGAGGTCAGAGAACAACGTGTAGGAGTCAATTCTCTCCTTCTATCATGTAGGTCCTGGGGCTGGAACCTAGGTCATCAGCCTTGGCAGCAGGTACCTTTACACACTGAGCCATCTAAGCGGCCCATCAATTTAACTTAACCTGCATTACAAGCTCTATTTGCAGTGTTATGGTTTGGATGAAATTATCCCTACAGACTCAAGGGTCTGCACATTTGGTCCCCAGCTGGTGCTTTTGTCTTAAGCAGTCTTAGAACGTGGGGCCTAGCTGGCTAACATAGGCTATCATGGGAGGTCCCTGAAGGGTATCAAGTCTCCAGTTGTATCCTGGCTCCCTCTACTTCCTGGCTGGTCACATGAAAGAAGTTGCCATCACCAGCTCCTGCTAGCCAAGGTCCAACCACTTCACCTGCCGTATCTGACTGTCATGGTGGACTGTATACATAAGTCAAATAAATCCTTCCTCACTCAAATCCTCTATTAGGTATATATAAAGTCTATATAAAGTCATATATATAAAGTCTATATATCCATATATGTCTACATATATATCATCATAAACTTCTTTTCTTGACAATACTTTCTAGGTAAATCAAAATATTTTGAAGATAAAAAATATTCATTTTCATTAACTTAAGGGAAAAGATGCTGTAATCTAATTCTTGTGATCCAAAAACAAAAAATTGTAAGAATTTAGGAGCCTATAGATTTTAAGTTAAATAATGAAAATGTTATCCATGCAATTAATGTACTATGAATTATTTTTATGAAGAATCTATTTATCATATAAATATATAATTTATTTACTTATATTCACATCATTAAAATGTGAATGTACCCTTCTTTTCTTTTTCTAAGATTTATTTTTACTTTTCATTGGGTGCATGCATTTCTGTGTCTGAGTGGGTACATGCATCTGAGTGTGGGTGCCCACAGAGGCCAGAAGAGGGCTCTAGCTCCCCTGGTGCTGGAGTTATGTGAGCTACATGATGTGAGGATGTCAGGAAGCCAAGGTTGGGCCCTCTGCAAAAACAGTGAGCACGCTTCATCACCTTGCAATCTCTCCAGCCCCAGAACCTCTTTTTATACGCAGTTTTACCAATGGGCTTAAAACGTTCTCAAACAAGTCCTACCATTACAGAAGACAGCAAATCTGAGAAAGTCAAGATATCGCTCTCCTTCAACTGGATTCCACCCAATGTCTGGGTAACCTTTAGATAGCAGCATTTGACAGCTCTGTAGACCACAGCCAGCCAAATAGCGGACGACCTACAAACAGGTGATAAGCAACAGTTTGTTCGTCAGAGGAAAGTAACGTTAAATGTTTGTGCTGGGTCTGGTGAGCAAGATTCTCCAGAGATGTATAAAACAGATGCATTTAATAGGTTTGTGTGTATGTTTGTCTCTGTATGTGTGTCACATGATTACAGGTGCTCATAGAAGGCAGAAGAAGGTACTGGATCCCTGGAGTTGGAATTACAGGTGGTTGTGAACCATCTGACATAGGTACTGGGAATGGAACTTGAGTCTTCTGAAAACATGATATGTGCAATCACTGAGCCAGTCCCCCAAAATGCACTGTTTGCAGGTTCTTTTTAACTACATGATCACTGACATGAACTCCCTCTAGTGAAGCTTTAGTAATAATAAATGCTTATATAAAACTAAGTGTGATCATCAAAATTATGAACAAATGCTAGGAGAGAACAATGTTCCTGAATCTCATATCATTTCATTTGCGACTTTCACATGCAGGAGTCATACTATCTGATGCACTTCCAAGTGTCTAATGACCTCTGGCCCAATTAAAAATCACCTGAGTGAATACTTCAATAGCTTTGTTGGGAGACTGGAGGACTATAAAAAACTACCTGAAATATAGAAAGTCCTATCTGAGATGCAAAGGCATCTTTTTTTTTTTATGTGTATGTGTATATCACCTACATGTATGAAAGTGTATGCAATGCCCACAGAGGGCAGAAGAGGGTGTCACATTCCTCTGGAACTGGAGTTATGGATGACTGTTAGCCAGTATGTAGGAACTGGGAATCAAACCTGGGTCCTCTGCAAGCACAGCCAGTACTCTTGACTGCTGAGCCAACTCTCCAGCCCCAACAAAGATATCTTAAAGAGGAGAATGATTTCCCAAATGATTCTATTTAATGGTAGGGCAGGTGTGAGAGGAAGCCCAAAAGAGTGGAGAGAAACTAATGCTGAATTTCTCCTATGCAAAATGGAACTCTGGGCATGTGCCTTCCTGTACTGGGCTTCTCTTACTTGGACAGATGTTCATATTGAAGTAAATCCAAGACAGTGCCAGAACCCGCATAGTTCACACAGACACTCAGGGCAGGAGCACAGCTCACCTTTTCCAGATCCGGTTCACGCAGAGCTAGGGCAAGTTCATTATTATCCATCACAGATGCTGCTGCTACGTCCAGTGGCGTTGAACCCCTCATGGCTGGTGAGGCTGATTCAAACAGAGAAGAGACAGCACTTGGGTCATGCTGCACTACAAGCCCCATGGAAGAATGCATGGCATTCCAACATTTAATATTAAATGGCAGACTTTGTACCCTAACCCAAATCAATTTAAGGTCTTTGACAATTAAAGTTATCAAAACTGGCTGGCAAGACGACTCAGTGGTTAAGAGCACTTGTTGCTCTTGTAGAGAACCCAGCTTTGGTTCCCAGAACCTACATGGTGACTTACAACCACGTGTAACTCCAATTTCAGGGGATCTGATATCTTCTTTAGGCCTCCATGGGGACCTGCACTTGTGTTGTACACAAAAACTCAGGCAGGTATATGCATATCTTTCTCTCTCTCTCTCTCTCATCTATCTATCTATCTATCTATCTATCTATCTATCTATCTATCTATCTATCATCTATCTATCTATCTATCTATCTATCTATCTCTATCTATCTATCTATCTATCTATCTATCTATCTATCTATCATCTATCTATCTATCTATCTATCTATCTATCTATCTATCTATCTACATAAACTCAGGCACACACACACGCACACACACACACACACACACACACACACATAATTGGCATGCTTATAATGTGCAATGTGTTTGAAAACAGGTACATGTTGTAAAAGGACTCCATTAAGCAAATGAACATGTACAACTTCAGAATCTTACCAAGTTTTGTGAAGACAATATTTCAGATATAGTCGCTTAGTGACTTTTTAAAGCATAGTGCTCTTGACTCCAGTGACCATGATATACAATGGAGCAAAGGGATTATTTGGGTGTTGTGATGATTAAATTTGACTTAGCCTGGCATAGAAGTACACCTTTAATCCCAGCACTTAGGAGGCAGAGGCAGGCATAGCTCTTAAGTTTGTGGAATTCCTGGTCCACACAGTGAGTTCCAGGTCAGCCAGGGCTAACAGTGAGACCCTGTCTCAATAAAATAAAATTAAAAATGAAACACACACTAAAGTAATAAATCCAAGCTGGGCATGGTGGTACATGCCTTTAATCCCAGCACATGGGAGGCAGAACTAGGTGGATTTCTGTGAGATCAAGGTCAGCTTGGTCTCCATAGCAAGTTCCAGGCCAGCTGGGGCTACAGAGAGACTCT